GCAAATAATGCACGGCACTGAGCTGAAGCACCCAGCTTAGCTGTGTTTAGGCATTTCTACTCGTCTGTCGCAATTTTTACGCCGTGCCTGGGGTACCATCTACACAGCCAGGGAAAGAGGTTTCACCAGCCCCACTCCACCCTACCACTGGGCACCTTCATTTTGACATGGCCCGCTGGGGGGCATCGACAGAAGCCCCCGTGCAGCGAGCAGGAAACACTTGAAAATCCGTGCAGCGATGACAAAAATAGCTATTTCCAGATAGCACTGCTGCGTGCCCTGGCCAGCCTGGCCACCCAGCATGGCAGCCAAGGGATGGGCAGACCCAGGCATTGAAGCAGGCTGCTGCCGCTGGGTCTGGCACTGCAGTCCTGCCACAGGCTGCCTCAGAGCCTCCTGCCTCTCTGTGCAGAGACATTTCATTTTTGGAAAAAACAAACCTCCAACAAAAGTCATGTTAGCTTTTGTGCAGGAATGGCCGAGGGCAGGAGCAGACCAGCACAAGGGAGGAAGGGGCACCACAGCCATCCATGGAACGACCACCACCTCCGTCAAAGTGCTGACATTGTTCCTTCTCTGTTTAAAGAACACATATAAAATGAATAAATGATTTTAACAACCCTAACTGTAAGGTGAAATCTCTCAGAATAGCAAAATTACATATTTTTACTCATCTCTATTTACTAAATGAGCAAGACTTCCAACTTCTGCCTTGAACTAAAGCATTCCCTCGCGTACATTTGATTTCCCAACTAGATCATGTTTGCCACAAGCTTAACCTAGCTGGCATGTTTGGAAATTGCCATGACACCTTTCTAGGACAAAGTATAGCTGGTGAAAACGCACTATCTGCTTGAATAATTCTAATGTCTGGTTTGTCATCTCTGTAGACTAACTAACCACCTTAAACAAACAAGCAAACTTTGGCACTTTTTCCATTTACGAAATGCTAGTACTTGTGTATCACAAATTTCTTCTTTATCACAAGTTTTGAAAAACAGAATTTAAAATCTTATGTCATAAAAATTTGCTTTATGATATACTCTTTCAAGGGTACTGGATTTATTCTCATAAACAGAACACAAGCAATAATTACATCTTTCATTGCCTTTTTTACAGCCTTATCTCACATTCTAAGCTACACAAGAAGAAAACGATTTCCCAAGGGACTTAGTTTTCCTTTTTAGACAAGGATCTCTGAAAATTGGTATCACTATTCCAAACACCAATCCCTATTCTTAAAATCCTAACGCAAATGACAGGCAGCAGTAATCAAAATCACTAAAGAGGTCCCTCTGGGTTTTCCAGCACACGACCTTGTTTCCATAATCAGAGTTCCAGTATCCCATTTAGGGCTGCAGAGGGTTTCTTGACAACCTACAGAAGCACCTCCTTCAGATTTTATATTCCCACGTGCTGGAGAGGAACACATAGCAAACAAAGGCATACTGTAGGCTGTCATTCTGTACTCTGCAAGTATCTAGTCAACATAAACACACATGCAATATATCCACCAATACAACAGCCATAATATACCCGCTCGCCTTTCTCTGAAATCCTTCCAGCTGGGGTGGGGGGGAATGAGAGTAAAGAAAGCAGAAAAACAGGATGAAAAATAACTGGCAGCACAAGCATGTAAGCAAAAATTATCAGGTGAAGAGGAGATATAAAAAAGGTAGGAGTAAGGAGACCTGCAAACACACTACCACCCCCAAAGAAAACCCTGCTACTTTAACCAGAACCACCTAAATAACAGGGTTTCAGCCACAAACTGAAAATGGCAGGATTGTTTTCAGGATAACAAATATCTTTAATAGTGAGGCAGAGACAGCCAAAGCATTATAATACATATAGTCTCCAAAAGTAATCTGAATTTTTATTTATTTATTTTAAATTTTATTTTTTTTTTATTATTCAGAGAGGCATGGAAGTTAATTGTCTCTGTGCCACCACCAGCACATCTTAGAGCTTGCAGAAACTTTAGTACAGAAAAGACTCCTGTTAGTAAGTTCATCTCTCATGTTTAAAATGAACTTGCTTTTCACACTATCAATCAAAGAGGCACCATTATTCCAGCTACCAAATCATTAACAATACTACTGTACTCACCAGCTGAAATATCATTGACAACCATTTTCATACAAGTTAAGTTGTAGCTTGGCAAACACTGGCAAAGCAACTTTTGTAGCACGTTTATGCAACTTCAGCCACTTCAAATCCTTAAGAACTTCTTAAAGACACCGGTTGCAAGGGGCTGGTGCGTATTTTACCTTCCTCTATTGCCAAAAGTAAGTACTTTCTACTGAAACAAGTTACAGGTTGCAGGTCTATAAATAAATAAATTTAAGGGATGACTTATAAAACCAGAACAAAGAAACTCACTCTGCACTACAGATGGTGGCACTAAGATCAAATCCTGCTACCTAGTTGTTCGCTGTCCCCTGAGCTCTCAGAAGTACGTGAGACCAATCCACACTTCCACATTGAGCAGGGAGCTCAGAGAGCTTAGACCACACTCAGACCCCTCCTCCCCACTCCTGAAAATGGTTAAATCTGCCAGGTACTGGAAGGTGACCTATTCGATTTTCAACAGCTAAAGGAGCAAATACCCTTTAGAGTTCACTAGGGACAGCAAGAGGGTTGTGCAGCACAAACCCTACACTTTCCTTTATGTTTGGCAAGGCAAAGCACCCTAACCAGAATTCAAGCCAGGGGAGCCCAGCTTTACAGAGGCACTGAACACATTTAACTTCAAATTATTTCAGCTAGATTCCCCCTGCCCCCCTCTGTGAGAGCTATGGGTGCTGAACATTAATAAAGAGATCGCTCACATAAAACTATATTTAACTGCATGCTACCTTTTGGAGTAACACACAAGAAACACTAGTTGTGGCCTGCACGTTGGAACAAAGGACATGTGCAAGGAAATATTTTTTACTCCAACAGTATGAAATCATGGATCTAAGGTTCACCTTTAAAATACCACATTTCCCTAAATTCAGAATAGCTCAGTAATTTCTTAGGATGACCTGCTTTCTCCTCAGTCCACAGACACCTGTGGATTTGAAAATACGAGGCTACGTTTTTTTAAAGATGTAATGAACACATTCTATGTTTAAATAGATTTTCTTAATGTCACTGCACAATATCAATCCTACTCCCTTTTGCAAATCTTTTTTCTCTGTATAATGAAACATTCTTCCAAACATCAGTGGATAAAAAAAGCTTTTGGACAGTGATGTTGAAATAGAGCCGCGCTGAGACAGGACATTTAAAGAATCATTTAGCAAACAGAAAGAGTAACACAGACTATCATTCTGGCTCAAAAAAAAACCCCAAACCCCCAAAGAACTGATCACCTACTTCTGTGAAGGAGAAAAAGCACCAAACGCTACAGTTCTCAATGCGATAAGCAAGCTCTGAAGATGCGAGCCATGCCGCTGCCAGAGGAAGCCGGTGGCACACTCCGTATCTGGTACCTGCATCGACACAGCATTCCCAGCCAACTCACTTTTCATCTAAGCTGCCTTTGGAGAAACTAGACACCATAAAAACCTCAGTCATCCTGTAACCTGGCACACCATCAAAGCCTCCTAACACACAATTACTGTGCTTCACGCCTTTAGACTTTTTTCCTTTGACTAAACAAAACCCCCACAATGGAATAAGAAACTTTCCAAGAGAAATTGTGTTTGACAGAAGATCAATGATGCAGAGGTGTTGGAGGGAAAAAAGCCAGCGCTGTTTTGTGTACACCTCCAAGCTTATTAATGGCTTGCTGCTAAAGCTAGATGCTCCTTCCCATCAGATCAGTATTTGATATTATTACTGAACTCAGAAGTCTGAGGTCTTCTTTAATCACATTAAGGAGTTTACAATTGCTTACGCAATACAGTAACTTTATCATGCTGCCTGTAGTTATCCAGCCATTCCCCTAGGTTTTTGCCTTGTTGGCAATAATACTCAGTGAAAACGCAGTGAAATTTGACTCACCATGTCAAAAACACAAGCTACATATAAATATGAATAACCTAACAAGCACGCACCCAGCTGCTGCTTTAATGCATTAGCACATGTATAGTTATGCACATGCCTAAAAGGAACTGCCATAAACCTCCATAAAGAAACAAATAAGCTCTTGTGAGTGAAGAGAAAACCGTAAGCCTGCCCAGAAATCTGAATCCTGCTAGTCATCACTTTCAAGGCTCAAGCCAGCATGACAAAGCCTTTTCAAGAAAGGGTCCTGTGTCAGGGAGCGAATCTGAAAGAGGCACGCTTTATATTCACTTCTCAGGACACCATGGCTTTTTTAAGCAAGCTGTAAGGGAAGGCGGGGAGCAACAGATAATAACTGGCTGAAGGATTAAATAAATAAAATTGAACTTTTTTCAAGCCCCTGTCATCTAGGTTTGTCTACATCACCTTTTAAAACCTTTAAACAACTGCTCTGTGAACTGCTAAACTAAGGGAGTCCAACGTCCCAGCGTTTGTCCCTTAAATCTTTTTATGTAGGTCCTATGCTATTTCACCTCTGGACAATAGACAGCATGGACTGAGATCACTCCAGAGTTACAGGTGCTGGTTAGCCAGTTTCTTGCATCTAAATGACATAGAATTGGTAAATTCTGCTCAGCTGTCCTTCCCCAAGATAACTGAAGCCAATCACCTTTAAATGGATACCCTCTCTGTCAACATACTCACAACATCAGGTAGCATACTGATCAGAGGAGCTTCCTTCTCTACCGAACAGCAGCCTGGCCCTGTCCTCCTGCCTGACACCTACCCTCCACCCTGATCCCCATCTCAATCGGTTCACCAGAAACTGAAACATACGGATTGTTCAAACCAGGCATTTTAAGCACTTCAGAAACAAGTTCTGTACAGATCAAAAGGGCACGGTGCATGCCAGATGGTGCACTGGTCTCCTTCCTTGCTACAGCAGAACCGCATTGAAAAGGACTGAGTCCTTCCAGTGGTACAGTACCGCAAAGGCAGCTCACCGTTCACTGCCTTGAGGCTCCCGCTAATGCCATCGCCGTGCTGCCGCTTCTGTGCGTTCTTGAACTCCTTCAGAGATAAATAAAGGACCTTCCGCACCACCCTCTCCTCTGACCAGGGAATCCCATCACTGTCATCCTAAACAAGAAGGAAACAGAAAGGAGACATTAATTGCATGCATCTGAAACAAAAACAAAACAAACAAAACCCAACAGCCTAGGGCTACACAGATTATTTGTAATTAAAAAAAAAAAGAGACAGAAGCTGAAAAAAAAAAATACTGTGTAATAAAATGCAACCTAAACTCGACCAGCTCTAACAAAGAACAGAAACATAACTATTATCATCAAATCAGAGCATTAGTCCCTCTATCCTGCAAACAGCAGTAGCCATGTACCAGGTGTTAGACAGGAGGCAAAACTTATTTGTTAAAATCCTCATAATGAATCCCTTATGGAGAAATTTGTCACAGCCAGGAAGTGCTCTCCCAGATAATTAAGAGGAGGGGGGCGGGAAAAACCCACTACATTGAACGTTGCAGAAATTTAAGAGGTAAGTCTTGTGAACCAACTTCTCTTGTTGCCATTTTGGCCTTGGTTTGTGCCTCTTGGCTCAGGATTTTTTTTTCCTCTGGTTTAGTGATTTGCATTTATCGCAGCATTACAATGAAATTGTACATTGATAACAATTAAGTTATTCTGAATTTATCTCAGCGTAAAGCAAAGTGGAATTTGGCCCACGGGGCATATGTTTTCTACTTTATTTTTAGGAGGCAAATGCTATATTGTCAAAAGGAATACTACTATATGTCATACTTAGTACTTGCTTTAGTTAAAAGATTAATTACCTGGAAAAGCATTTCCCTAAAGCCTTTAGCATTCAAATAAATTAAGTCAGCAAATTGATATAAAGACATAAGTGAGATCAGGTAAGTCATCATATTTTCATAAGCCCTATAATTGTCTCAGGGTCTTTAAAAAATCACTATTAGAGCATTCTTGCCCTTGAATTCCTCAAGGGCTACATCACTGCCAAGCAAAAAGATTAACATTTCTAGGCAGGCCTTATTTAGGTAAGTGTACCACAGCACACTGCCACACTCCACTGGAAACCCCAAAAAGCCCCATCAGCAATCCACACCAGGAAGCAGGAGAGTTTGACACAGCAGATGGTATAAAGAAGTGACCAACACTATAAACTTCAAAAAAAAAAAAGCATAGTTTAGGGTGACCATTGATAGCTTTTTCTTTGCTCCTCTAGTGAGATATTGGCATTCAGCTGCTGAATTGTGATCAAAAACATTTCCCCCCCAAAAAAGAACTGTATGACAAATTACTTGGCCAAAAGAAAAAAAAAAAAAAGGGAAAAAAAAAAAGGAAAAAAAATCCCCAAAAAAGAACTGTATGACAAATTACTTGGCCAAAAGAAAAAAAAAAAAAAGGGCAAAAAAAAAAGGCAACACAATCAGTGCCGTGAAAGCAGCTGGCATTTTGGCAGCAGGATGTGCATTTCGCACAAGGGACAAACTACTATACTTTGAACAAGGCTGAGCTATGCCCAGGGAGCTTTAGAGCACAGGCAGCTCTGGGCCAAGAAAGCAAACTTTGTAACCCAACACCCACAGCAACCCAAAAAAAAAAAAAATCTCCAGGCAAGCATTTTCAAAGGACTAGTACATCCAGTTATTTTGTCAACAGAGGTTTACACAAACAACTCCGGCTTACCATTTTGCTGCCAGCACAACTTCAGCCCTAACCAGAAGCGACACTAAACACGGGAGGGCTGCAGCCTGCTCGATTTTAACAAAGCTTGCCAAAAGATGCCCCATTTACGTTCCCACTGACTGGTAGGTACGGAGAGGAAACCCGTACAGGAATCCCACTGACAAGGGCCTGGCGGGATGTCACACATTTCTGTCGTCACAGAAACTACTTATTAAGTCTTCAAGGGAACCATGCTCAGTTAGGAAATGGTTGTAAGCACCTCCGGCACCCGTCCATGCCGGACACAGGCCTGCAGACACCGCTCACTCTCTTCAACAGCATTTGTACAAATTCCTAATATAATGAGCAGCAAACGTGAGGAAGAGGATGAAGAGCCCTCTGGCCAGGCACACTGCTCCTGACTCTGAAGCCTAGATGAGTTACACAGAAACCCACCAAGAGGCAACAAAACCATCACCCTGTATTTTTATATACTTTAAGCCCAGCATACACAAGACACGTGTAACAATCGAGCCCTGTTAATGTAAGCCATACTCAGACACATGCTGCTTTCCTTAGCCTCTGCCCTGTGAAACACCAGGCCTGTCCTGAAGCCATGAACAAACCCCTTCCTCCACCAGGCCCTGCAGTCCCCGAGGAGCTAGAAGTTGCATGACAACACCCATCGGTTCCTGATGCCACTGGCCCTTTTATCCCTGCTAAAAATACATTAAAAAAAAAAATTAAAAAAACAAAGAAATGAATCCCACTTAAACCCACTTTGTCATGACAGCTCACTGCAAGGAGCACATGACAGTGTTTGCTGTTTCAGTAGTGACAGGGTGAAACCTACTGACAGGATTGATGTTTAAATCGGCATGTGCTGACCAAGCGGCCGACTGCAGTGGGTAAGTGACCTCTGGCAGGTACAACCCATGCCCTGGGACATGCCAGTTACAGTCCCTCCTGCAGGAGGGAAGGACATGATCACCACACACCAAAGGCCTCTGGTCTAGGCCACTCTCTCAAAGTATTTCTGCAAACGGCCTGAAGTCATCTCCATCTCCCCAGACAATGCGCTGGACACGCAAAAGGACAGCGTGCAACTAAGCACCCTATTTTCTGAGTGACGAGGCCACCAAGATGTCATCCTGGTGCCAGCTGGAGGCTCCAGCCCTGCTGCAGGAGATTGTCCCGCCTTCCCATCAGCCCAGGGGCTGTGTGGGCCATAGCGCTACCATAGAAGAGACAGGTCCCAGGAGGCAGGAACAAAGTCCTCCCTCAGCAGCCCCTGAAGCAACACAGTAACATTTCACACCATGCTCAATTCACAGAGCTGTAAAACTCGAGATGAACCATACTGACTTCATCCCCCCTCTACAACAGCAATGCTGTCAACAGAAACACACATGGGGGAGTCTCTCCACACCAGAGCTGCCACCAGCCCATTTGTGCCGAGGCTGCAGCCACTGTCCTGCCTACACAGCTCTGTTATGGGCTTTCCATCACTCAGCTTGAAAAAAGGTCCCCAAGTTCCCCAACACCGTGTTATCCAAGGTCAGCAAACTAAGGGGCTAAGCCGCTGCCAACACCCGCATTCACGCAGCTCCATATGCAGGAGCAATAAAAAGGTTTCACAATCGTCGACAGCATCTTCCCCCAAGCCTGCGACACAAAAGCAGCCGCAAGCCGGAGAGCAGCTGACTTGGAGCCCAGCTGAGCTGCTGCTCTGCCAGCAACGCAGCTCCAGCTCCTGACACGTTTAACCATAATTACATGGGTCAGATCGTCTCTGCCTCATCATGCCAGTGGAGGGAGAGCTGCCGTGCGCCCCACTCTGCACTCACACCGCCAACAACTGGAAGAGTTATCTCACTTCAGCAAAACAACATACACACACCCAGAACCGTTTAGAAATATCCTCAAGTGAAAGCCTTGAGGAATTTAATCTATGTAACTTCTCAAAACCAAACCAAAAGGAAAAACAAAAACAAAAACAAAAACAAAAACAAAAACAAAAACAAAAACAAAAACAAAAACAAAAACAAAAACAAAAACAAAAACAAAAACAAAAACAAAAACAAAAACAAAAACAAAAACAAAAACAAAAACAAAAACAAAAACAAAACCAAAAACAACCTCAAAGGGACTGACTCGATCAGGGACTGACTCGATCGCTGCCTTTAAATATTTCCACAGGGAGTAGAAATTTGATAATAGATGGCTCTTGAGGCTGGCAGAGAGGGGTATAATATCATCCAACAGCTGAAACTCGAATTCAGAAAAATGCAAGACAGAATTAAAGAACAATTTCTGCAACTGTGCAAGTAATTAGCCATTGAAACGACTTATGGGGAACTAATGGATTGCCCATTATTGACTTAGACCCAAAAAAGACTGAATAACATCTTAAACTGTAGGTTCATCACCGCAAGCCCATAGCCTTCACTGTGCAGGTCAGCCAAGATGATTTCTGCCTCCCAACCTGAGAGTAAGATTAGTTTGCAAACTCAGTAAGAAAGTAACAGATGCAAACAACAAGGGAAGCCCTGGGGCAGAATTAAGAAACAGAACTGCATCATTTCTTTTAAACTGCTAAAAAAATTAATCATGCCACCTTGTTATGCCATTTCGGGGAACCACACATCATACATTTATATCTGAACTTCAGCTACCGGGGCAGCCAAGCAACAGTTCAGCAAGTTCAGTCCAAGGGGACGGGGAAGAGGAGCACAACCTCCGTTTACCTACGCAGTACGTTCCTGCACAGGATGCTACCTCGCGGATAGCAGAGCAGCTCTCTTTCGCGCTACCTGGCTGGCAGCTTGCTTTCAGCTCTACAGTTGTAGAGGTGATGTTTGTAGAAAAGTGCAACAGGCTACTGCCACATACTGCTAATTTGGGAAGAAATATATATACACACGTGTGTGTGTGTTTTTGCTATGCGCACATTAAATGTATATAATACATTAAATATACAATACAGATATATTAATGTGTGTATACAAACAAATATATACATATTAATATATAATGCACACATAAATATAGGTATATATAGGTATCTCTAAATAATGCACATCAATGTATAACGTGTATATTTTTGCAACAAAATCAAAATGTGCACCACCTGTACCTTTCACCATTCACCTACAGCTTTGGTGCTTGTTCACTGCAGTTCAGCTGCCTAGCTTGCACATGGGGCCTGCACACAGCCTTCCTATTTCTGAAGTTATACCCAAATCCTTTAAAAAAAAAAAAAAAAAAAGAGCCAGAACTGAGAGGCAGGCTTCACGCCACCTCCTGGGTAGGTGAAACGTCAGCCTGAAGTAGCGTATGCTGCTGCATGCTGCTTTGCTCCACGAGAAGCAGCAGAAGCATACGCATGACTCAAGCTTCTCTCCGTTCATTCATCGCCAGATACGGCATTCTTCA